ACTTCCCTTGTCTTGGACACGGAGCATATACAGGGGCGGACCCAGGGGGTTTAGGACACCGCTAAATTTTGGGGAAACGATTATCCAACCCCAGTGGTAATTTACGTATGGACAAAAAGAAATTAATTGATAGTGAGGGACACCCCTTAAATTTGAAAAAATGATTATCCTACTGTTATTTGTGTATAAGAATATAAGTGGTAGGTTGGATAATTCAAATCTAGAACACTATTATTATTAATAAACTTAATTTCTGTTGAGCTAAACTCATTTGTTGTTAGATTTTGAACAATGTGTAATAGTAAAATGGCATTCCCTATCTCTAATTATTTTAAAAACCTAACAATTAAACTAATTTCAAACTACCCTTAATTTGTATTGATTGTATGATTGTGTGACAAGTGTTGAAAGAGCCTTTCAGCTTTGGGTTACATCAAGAACAAGTTTACAAATCGAATATGCGATAAGTTCGTGAATGATTGTCTAGCTAGCAGTGTATATAGAGACAATTTTTTTAACACTATAGACACCAAGTGTATTCTACAATTATTTCCGAATATGAAAACATATCATGGACTTTTTTAACCTATATGAGTAAGGTATTTTCATATTTACAATTTTATTTTTATCAGTTATTTTTATTTTTATTTATTTTATTTTTTAAAAGAGGACACCCCTATGAAAAATTTCTGGGTCCGCCACTGAGCATATATGTTAGTTACCCACGGGGTGTTCGAATCCGTGTTTGCAAAATTGCATCATTGATCATACCATGGGTCCAACCAGAAAATTTACATATCATAGTCGATGTTCAATCTTTATAGGCATTTTTAGCGATATAAAACAATTAAATCATAATTTTATAATAAGATATCATATTATTGATTATCTCGATAGAACTTCTAGTATGATTTTGCAATTCTTGTTTTAATAAGAGATATATAATTAGAGGATATGTGTCTAAAGTTTATGAAATGAGCAAAAAGGAGCAAATCATTATTTAGTTGCTCAAGGCATCAGATAATTGATCAAAGTATCTCCTCATTTGGACTAACTGTGAACATCGTCCTACTTCAACGATATTTTCGTAATGCGTAATCAAAGTATCCCGATCCTGTAGGAGTGGCAGCCAGTTTCTCTTTGGGAGACGGCAGAGACAGCTTTAGAACTCTTTTAGTTCCTTCTATTGATTTTGAGTTAAAAGAGGTGTACGAGGCTATACAACCAAATAGTTGGCCCCGCTGGTGTTATAGTTCTACAGTTTTTTTAATTTTCGTGAGCAAAAGAAGTTTGTTGCCAATGAGGGACGGAGCCAACTCATTGCTAGGGGGGCCATGCCCCCCCCCCCCCCCCCCCCCCCCCTAAACTGAGAAAATAGATGTAATCGTGACTATGAAGCAAAGCAATCACATCTAGCATAGTGGTTCAGTTATTTGCCTTTTCTCCTATCTTGAATGGTTGTTATTTTCACCAAAAAATCGCTCTATAGAGCTTTTACATAGAGGATGAGCTCTTTTGTATAGACCATTCAATTGTAGTATTTTAATTCGACAGTTAATCAATAAATTATCTAAGAATGTTGAATTAATTGATAATGATACCGTATGAATTATATCAATTTGATATTTCTTTAGTCATTTTATGACATGAATTATATCAATTTGATATTTCTTTAGTCATTTTGACATAAATTATATTGCTTTGCTTCATCTTTAGCAATTTTTACTTGAAGTTGCTTCATAAAACATTCAAACATGACAACAATGATACAATTATAATAGTTAAGCTAATATTTGAAATAAAAAAAACTAAAAAAATCTAATTATTACACTTCCGTCTCTGAAACTACTAATACACTAATTTTTAACTTTAAAGAAAAACACGGTTTTTAAAAGTTATATTCGGTGGAAAATAGGTCACTTAACATAAATTAATTTGCTGCTTAAACTTAAGTTATTTATTTTGAAGCATGGTTGTCACGCCGGTGGCATGCCACCCGGTTGAACCTGAGTCAATCTGTGCCGGTCATGAAACCGGCATGACACCAACGGTATGACCGGTATGATCGATTTACGCATTCTAAGTAAAATGACATCATTTTAATGAGTTTAATGAATAAAAAAATAATTTATTATTCATTTTATGAATGTAATAGTTAAAAGTTGATAATATTTGTTGGATTGTAACTAAATTGTCCACAAATATGTTTTATATATGATTAAATACATAAGATATTAATTGTTTTCACATTTTTTAAACCGGCATGAACCGACACAAACTGGTTATACCACCGGTCGTACCATTCCATTTGCCAAACCGGCACAACGGTATAAACCGGTTTGACAACCTTGTTTTGAAGTAATGTATCCCTACATTTAATCCAAACACTAGTTTAAGTTATATATTGTCTAATAGGAGAACACGGAGGATCTTAATAGAGGATTCCTTAACCCAAAAATATATACGAGATTTTGTATAATTTCAAATATGATGTATCTTCCTATTATGTCATTATTATAAAAACAAAAATAAAAATTGGCCCCACCTAACTTTAAATCTTGACTCCGTCCCTGTTGTCAGTGTCTCCGACCATGGTGATGTTCTCTTTTCCTATGTCGAGCTAAATACACATGTTATTTATAGAGTGGATCTTAGATGTGTTTTTATACTTTATACTATGTTCTTGATTATATAATATATTTATTCCGGGGTCATGATTATGATTTGATTGATTACCATATGATTTCTCATATGTTTGACGAGACTACAAAGTACAAACATATATGTTATTGGGTTAATTGCATGGTTGGTCACTGACATTACAAAAAGCGTTCATGTTTGGTCACTAGAAAAATTTAAATCTAACTTTGGTCACTAACTTTACAAAAACGGTTCATTTATGGTCACTCTCCGTTAGCTGCCGTCCAACGCCGTTAACGGAGTCCGTTAAGTGATGACGTGGCTGACGGATTCGCCTAATCAGCACCTTTTGACCCCAAATTTGACTGACCTGACCTGCCACGTCATTTAAACCCTCCATCTCAGCAAAACCTAACCAAACCACTAACCAAATCAGACCACACCCGACCCGACCCAACCCACCAACAAAAAATGACCCACCCACTAATCAAAACCTAATTTCTAAATCCTACAGACATTCCCCTTCTCCTCTCCATCCCGCGCCGCCTTCATCTCTTCCCTGCGAATCTTCTTCTCCGCGCGTTTCATCGGCGACGAAGGAGGGAGCCCGCGACGAAGGAGGGAGCCCGCGCCACAGTGTGGTTGACTCTCCATCAAGCAGAACTCCTCGAAATAAACAGAAACAGGCCCAGATCAGACCAAAAAAATAATCATTTCCGCCCTAAGAGACCTACTTGGGACAATTTGAGCCAGTGATTTCAGATGAAAACGCGAAGGCATGTCGTCTTACTAGCTCCATGTAAAGTCTGTAAGCGGCAGGATGCAACTGTCGATTTGGCAGCGATTCGCAGGAAACTTTGCCAAGATTGGTTGGTACGCATAGTTCATACATATCGAGAAGGGAATAGAGCCGCGGACTGGCTCTCAAAGCACAGTCTCGTCTATCCCTACGGTGTGTATGAATTGGCGGACCCGCCTTCTGGGCTAACATCGATTATCAGAGACGACGTGATGGGTGTCAGTTTTGAGCGCAACATTGTAATCTCCTCTATCTCCCACTCCTCCTAATCTGATTGTATCTCCCTCTTCTTGGCCTTTGGCCTCCAGTTAAGCAAAAAAAAAAAAGTACGTGCTTATGCATAGGAGTGTGCAACGGTTTGGTTTGTATACCTGAGCATACAAGATCATATCAATGTTTGAACCGACCATACAAACCCGAATATAATGCATTTCGGTCACTGGTTCCGTGAAATATTAAAGTTATAGGCCGAATTGACATCTAGACCAAACCAAATTGAAACATAATGCACGAATAGTCCTATCCTTGGCCGTAAGATGTATACTTTATTTTTATAATCACACATGTATTTTATTTAATGGACCGCAGAGTCTTTAACCAAAATGTCTAGCAAGAATACAGGGGGTCTGAGAACCCAAGACTATTGGGCCTCCCATTGACAGATTGTATGAGTCATTGTGTGTGCAGCCCAATTAAAGATGCGCTTTGCAAAACACCAACATATTCCCCTTATCCGATCAACATCATCCTGCAGCTCAGCAACGATCCTCCCAACTTCCAATTGTGAGACATCCGTCCTCTGGAGTTTGAGGACCGTCTGTTGGCAATCTGTTGCGATGACTGCTGGGTGGAGCCCATGCATTTTTTCCATTTCCAGGCCAAAACTCAACGCCCGCAGCTCTGGCGACCACTGAATGTGTTCCCTCTTCACCGCGCGATCAAGAATTTTCCCATTTCATCGCGAGCCACCATACTCAGACATGTTCCTTCCCCGTTAATCATTGCAGCGTCCATATTGATCTTCACCCATCCCACTTTCGGCATCTCCCAGGTAACTTGTAGCTCCTCTTGTAGTTCTTGTTTCTCTTAGGTGTGGTGTGAATTGAATTTCTCCCAGTAGTCTATGGCTTTACCCACATTTTCCCATTTTTTCGGATTTCCTGTTATTGAACATATGATTGTTTCTCTCATTCCATAACGACCATAGAATCATAGCTAGCTTTCCTAGTATTCACCTTCCACTTTCTACATCACCTCACAAAGCCAGCTTCTTGCTGATAGACTAGGTTCCATTTCAAATAATGATATGAAAAGTGAGGATCGCCATACCCTACTACTCCACTGGCATTTTATTAAACCACAATTCTCATGAGTTTGAACGAGGTTGAACCATACTAGTTGCACAACCATATCTATCCACTTTGAGTTTTTTAAAATTCCCTCCCCGGCCCATGGCCCGGATCTACGGAACCTGGGACTGGGAGTGCTGCTGGGTTGGCGAAAATTGAAAGGCCCACTAGTGTATTCGCAATTCACGAAGCCGGAGGAGATCGTTATCCACATGGCAAGATCGCTGAGGCTGGCTCAAGCGGGCCCTACGCAGAAAATAATCGCAGAGCAGGTGCAGGACTCCCCGCCACGTGTAAACTTTCAACTCAAGGGGACCCTTGAATTCTACTTTCCCGCCTTTAAAAGATCACGCAAGTCGAGCCTCCACCAATTTCTCCAAAAAAAAAAAGCCTCCTCCAAGCGGCTCATAATATCATATTCAAATTTTCGGTTCTTCCAGAGAATTTCGAATGCTCTGAGCCTCTGTCACTCTCTGTCTCAGACTATCAAGAGTGCTTCAGAAAGCTTAGAGAAGCGGAAACAAGCGCTTGGAATTCTGCTCGCTAGAGATCGTGAAGATGATCGCCAGTCTGAAGTAAGTTCTACGCTTCTCTCCGTCTCTGTTTGTTTGATATTCATTATTTTTCCGGCAAGATTTGAACTATCCGCTTCGTGCTCATTTCCTCGTGCGGTTTCTGTAGAGCCGAAGAGATGAACCAGTTGCAGTTGGTTGAGCGAGAGGAAATTGACGACGAAGAGGAACTGTTCGAAGCGATCGATAAGCGTGCGTATAGTCTCTCACCTGTTTGCAGAATTGCTCTCTACGTGTTTGTCATATTTCCTCAGTGATTAGTTTCTGTTGCATCCGGAGATCTGATCGTTATCGTTCAATTTTAGCTGTTTGGTTAAGGTTGAGATTGCTCTGGTAATGAAAATTCGGGATAACTTGACAGCATCTAGGCTAGGCTGTACAGAGCGAGTTCTCTTTCGTGTTTCCTGTCGATTACGGGCGGGTGTTTCTGCTGATATGGCTTGTTTTCGTCCGTTCAGGTAATTTTGAACGAAGATGTGTTAGCTTTCTCTATGGCTTCATCTTCTCAGATCTCGTGTTGTTAATTAGCTAGATCGTCGAGCTTTTACGAGAAATCCTCGCTGCTCTTTAGAGCAGTTAGGTCTCCCTCGATGAACTGAACTGCTGCTCCGTTTATTGTGGCATAGCTAGCGTGTTTTAGATTTTGTGATCTCTGTTACTTGTTTGCTACTGATCGCTTAAGTTTTCCTGACATTTCCTCTCTGTGGTTTCAACTTCACGTCTTTCTGTTTACTAAGGATTGCGCGCTGTTTTTGCAGTGATATCTCAAGGAATCAATTCTGGAGATGTGAAGAAGCTGCAAGATGCAGGGATCTACACCTGCAATGGCCTTATGATGCATACAAAGAAGGTACAGTTAAAAGAACGAGTCTATTTGACAGTTTTAGTTTGCGCAATGTCATCGATCATCAGTATAATTACTCCTGTTTGGCTGGCAGCACTTGACCGGGATCAAGGGCTTGTCTGAGGCTAAGGTTGATAAGATATGTGAAGCTGCAGAAAAGATAGTGGTTAGTACTGCCTGCAGCAACGATCTCTTAGTCCGGATAAATATTGAAAGGACTTTTTTACTATCTAACGCAAAATCACTGTGCTTCTGTTTTCCAGAATTTTGGTTACATGACTGGCAGTGACGCTCTACTCAAAGTAAGTTCAAACCTATCTTGTTAGCTTGATCATAAAGAAGATCATGTATGGTTGAATGGATCAGCATAAGACCTTGTTCTTCAACGTTTGTTTGTGATTCATTGAGGTGTCACGTATCTAAACCTCAACTGTGTTTTTTCCCCCTTCTTGTAGCGTAAGGCAGTTATCCGCATCACAACTGGAAGCCAAGCACTAGATGAACTGCTGGGAGGTGAGGGTTTTATTTTGGCTTCGTATTGCCTCAGAGCTACGAAATGTTTATTCTACTTCACTGGATCGTAGTTAATCCAGCTTGTGCTCCACCAAGTAACTAATGCTAATTGGTTTGTTGGTCTCTTTAGGCGGTGTGGAAACTTCATGTATCACAGAAGCCTTTGGAGAGTTCAGGTAGGAAAAGAATAGTATTGCTGGTACTTAAGTTTTATCCTGCTGTCTGGTAATTCTTAAACAGTGAAGTACATACCTAAGGACTGATCACCGAAATGCCTTCAGGTCTGGGAAGACGCAGCTTGCACATACACTCTGTGTGTCCACTCAGGTTACTCTCCAAACCTACTTCCTTGAGCATGCTGCAGTAGAAGTTGTCTGAAAAATGATCTGCTAAGAGGCTATTGTAATATAAAAATGGCATGCCCCTGTATAGTTTTCATCCATTTTTACATATTAAACAACAATTTCTACAAATGGATCCAATGATAGCATTTGGTCTATTGATAGACAGAATGCTATGTGCCTTTATTCCTTCACCTGAAAACTCCTCCATGAAATTGTTTCCCTATTTGCCTTGGATTGATCTAGAAGCCTCTTGAGTCTTACATACCAAAGCGTTACTGACCACTGCTGTTTGTTTCTGCAGCTACCCACCAACATGAATGGAGGGAATGGCAAAGTTGCTTACATAGATACTGAAGGGACATTGTATCCTTGATCGTTTCGTTGCCTCTTTTCACAGTAAAAATTGATGGAAGATGTCTCATACAGTGTGCTGTCGCATGTTTCTTCCTTAACTTTGAATTATTGCAGCCGCCCTGATAGAATTGTTCCAATTGCGGAAAGATTTGGCATGGATCCAGGAGCAGTGCTTGATAATGTAAAAGAAAATAGTGTCCTTATCAGAACCGATTGGATTAGTAAATTAAGCATATCACAGGTTTTTCTCACTTAAATTATCTTTTGATTTTGAAGATCATTTATGCTCGGGCATACACTTATGAGCACCAGTACAATCTGCTCCTTGGTCTGGCAGCAAAAATGTCTGAAGAACCATTCAGACTTTTGGTACGTTTAGCTAGTTGACTTACCCATCTATCTAAGCGGACAGACTGACTTGACTCTTTCTTCCTGTTAAAGCCACCGAATTCACTTTGTTCGTCCCTGTGTATTCAATTCAGGTTGTGGACTCTGTGATTGCTCTTTTCCGAGTGGATTTCACTGGCAGAGGGGAACTTGCTGATCGACAGGTGAATCCATCGTGCCTCCACTTCATATGACCTCGTTTGCACATTAATACGAGACCATAGCTGTATGGTTGGCAACAGTAATTGACTGTATCAAGAACTTTTTATCTACAGCAAAAGCTGGCACAGATGCTATCCAGAATGACCAAGATAGCTGAGGAATTCAACGTCGCTGTCTACATGACCAACCAAGGTAACTTGCTAGCTAAACCATTTGTCCATTTAACGGCCTTTGCAAAGCCTGAAGCCATATATACAAATCCCAAAGGGATAGAGGGTATGCCCATACAAACCTCTTTGCTTATTGATCTGTTTGTGGTTGCAGTGATTGCTGACCCTGGCGGTGGAGTATTCATATCAGACCCCAAGAAACCGGCAGGAGGGCACGTGCTAGCACATGCTGCCACAATCAGGCTGATGTTCAGGAAAGGCAAAGGCGAGCAACGTGTCTGCAAGGTGTTTGACGCCCCCAATCTTCCCGAGGCTGAAGCAATATCCTTTCATTTGTTTATCATCACTCTGCTTCTCTCGAGTCCTTACTTTATAAAACCCTGGAGAAGCAAACCCCCGTTATTATGGACTGCTGTTCTCCTTGACAGAAACACGTCTTTCAGATAACACCAGGAGGCATTGCAGATGCGAAGGACTAAACCAACCAGATTTGCTGCTTCGCCATCTTGAGTAAGCAAAAAGACTAGTAGAACGTTTGTTCCTCTATTCCTTTTTAGTTCCAGTGGAAGCGTCAAGATCCCCAGGATTAAGCTAGCAGCTCACTTGTTTAATCTGTTACAGTTATCTCGATAGGAATTGGTCTATTAAATATGTAATCCAGGAACCATTGTGAAACGAAGAACTTATGTCGTCATGGTCGTTACTTACGCTCGAACAAGACTGTAGTTGGCAAATCCCATGTACAGGGAAATACATTCTTATTTCATGATGATATATTCATTCAGCAGGAGCAGGAATCCCCCTTTTGTCTGAGTTTCGATACTGAGCAACATGTACAGCAGCTCTCCAGATACTAAATACCAGTAGTACAAAGGTTGCAACATCTTAGAACAAAGCAAAAAATTCAAACAAGATTATAGTTGTCAAAGCCAATGGGGGAATAAGGCCTGCTAATAAGAAAAGCCTCGCCGATTGGGGGGGGTTTATAACTCGGCGGCTGGTGCTCAGTAGTGCTCGGACCAGTTGTACGAGCTTCCGACTCTGGGCATGCCACTGCTCTCCTTCTTAGCATCGGCATCCACCTTGAAGTTCGACCCGCAGACCTGGCCTGAGCTGTCGATTCTTGGTATTGGCTTCAACTCGTTCAGCGGGTGCTCGAAGCTCCTCAACCCTCCAGAAGTGGTAAAGAAGCATCCTGAGATGGAGAACAGGAATGAAGAAACAGCAGCAGGATAGTGAGACTTCATCATTACCAAACCACCTTCATTCCTGTATATAGAGACACATTCTGAAGGGATCTCAAAATCAGCGATTACCTTTGGGGAATGGCGCAAAAGATTTACCACAAACCTTCTGCACAACTTCGGTGTCGTCAGAAAGAACAAGATGGCCATCAGAATCAGTTCCCCAGAAGAAGGGTACACTTCCATCAGCATCCTGCACAACATGGTTGGTTTCAAGCTCCATGGCATGATAGAAGGTCTCAAAATCAACTACGTATAGAAGCAGAGGATTGTTTGTGATTGTGACTCACAGAAGCAAACATCGTGGCTTTGGCAGCGCTGTCGTAGAGCACGAAAGCAAACTTGCCCTGGATGTCTCTGATGACTTGATCGGGAGGGTACGGCCCACGGTCTCTGAGAGTCCTGTAAGCTTCGATGACGATGATAACCTCGTTTGCAGCTTTGTTTAGCCCATACTGTTGCTTCAGGACGGCTACATTCTCAATGTGGCCTTGGAACAGGCAGAAAATGTCATCCACCACCGCGAATAGCCTATCAACAGAACAATATACAACTTATCAACGAACCAACCGAGTTTCGTTAAGTAAGCAACATACATGAACACACACATCATATGAACACACACATCATGTGAAAAATGCATACGTTTTGATCTCTGAGTGGCCTAGAAAGAAACCCTAGATTACGAAAAATCCGAATCCTACAACGAAATCAATCAATGCACTGACTACATGGTCGAAAGTCGAAACGTCTAGCTGAGGAACCTAATTAATTAGGAAAGGTCGATAGGAAGCCTTATCCAATACATCAGAACAAGAATACTGAACACAGATCATTTACACTTTTACATCCTGAAAAGCCAAAAGGGAAAACACAGACATTATCCACACTTTCCCAATGTATAACAATGACTCACATTGGCAAAAAGCGAGAACAGGAAGATCTACTTGCATCACCCACCCCATTGACAAATCTCTAGCTCATCACATATTTATGGAGCCATCCCTAATCTCATCTAATCCAATCCAATCCTATCCAATCCAATCAATCCAACCATCTAATCAATCAGTTAAAAAAAACCATATCAGATCAGCACAGAAGAGGTAGATCACTCAAAAAGTGCTCGTTTAAAACAGGACAAGAGTAATAAAACTAGGAATGGAGAAGATTGAATCATGGAATATCAATTTACTCACCTAGGGACGAGAGGGTTCTGCTTGGCAAGAGAGTAGGCGATCAACCCAGAAGAGCCGAGATTGACGATGACGGAACCGGGGTGAAGGGACTCGAAATGCTTGGCCATGAACCCATCTTTGAGAGCGGAGGCGGCACTCCCGGCGGCAGGGCTCTGGAGCTCCGCCGGGCACTTGGCGACGTTCTTGTCGAACACAGCCAACATTTGGATTCGGGGCCAGAAATGGGTGCACTGCTTTGTTTGTCTGAAAATCGCACCAGAGAGCAAACGAAGATTTGTGGAGAGAAGAGAAGGGAAGGGAAGGGAAGGAAAAGAGAGGAGCAGTCGTGGTTAGTTAAATAAGGTGTCTAGTAAATCGGATTTGTTTTGGATTTTTCTCACAATTTCTTTTTCAAACTTAGCAAATTAATGTCCTGTTTTGTCTAATCGATGCTTAGCTTACAGCCTGTTGGGAAAGGCTAAATTTTGAGGAAATGGAATTCCAATTCCCAAACTTTTCATGATTCTCATGTTTGGAAGTAAAAGTAAAAAGGAAATGGAATTCCAAAAGGCAAAAAGTTGGAAATTCTAATTTCTACCAAAAGTGGTCGGAATTGGTGGAGGGAGTGATGGAATTAGTGGACCCCACATTAATTTTGACTCACCTCTACAAGAAAGCCCTTACTACTTTTGGATTTGAAATCACTAATACCAAGGATATTATTGTAAAAGCACTTGTAAGAAATCATTTCCATTTTTTCCAAACATAAAAACATGAAATCATTTCCCAAACTTTTGGATTTGTTCCAAACATAAAATTTTAAAATGAATTTTCACTTGAATTCAGATTCTCACAAGAAATGGAATTCATTTTCCAACAGAATTATATCCAAACAAGCTGTTACAGATTGCAAATTTGCAATTACGAAAACTAACAATAAAAAGGAGCTTTACGGATGTCTTGTTTAAGAGGTCTGTGGATTGGATTGTGATTAATATAATGGTCAGCTTGAAGATTATTAGGAAAAGGGCAGCAATAAAATTTGTCTTGATTCGCGTGCACGATGATTAATTGGCGAGAGATGCTTTCATAATTGATTGCCTAGTCAACGCAATGGACGGTGGGTGGTAGTGCAAATTCTGCTGCCAGGCATGAGGCAACCGTCCAATGACCAATGTGCATTTTAATAATCAATTATTACTTCATTAGCTACTAGCTAAGGATTAAAGGACCAGAGGACGAAGTCGCCGATTAAGCTCCCCCCTTGAAAGCGCTGCAAATTTGGACTCCTAAGAAAGATAGGAAGACTAAATCGAAAGCAAGGATGGCAACGCTCACCCTACAGGAGATTGACGCGTGGACTACTGCAGCGAAGAGTTCGACCGGAGACTCAGGGGAGAAAGCTCCTGCCTTCCTCGCCGAGGGGCAACACCCGTCTCCTTCACCGGGAGAGGACGCTTCTTCTCCGACCACCTGAGGGGCTCCCCTCCTGCTCCTCCTTCCCTTCTCTTCTTAGTCTTTCTTATTCCCTTTGTCTATGTCTATGTCGATTGATTTACAAACTAAAATTCTCGCGTGGAATGTTGGCGGTGCAGGTGGAAGAGCCTTCCTCCGGGCTCTGAAATTGATCATCCACACTCATCGCCCTGATATTGTTATCCTCTTGGAGCCTCAGATTAGTGGAGCTGCGGCGAACTCGCTGTGCGATAGACTGGGCTTCCCCAAATCAATCCGGGTGGAAGCTTCGGGGCGCAGAGGCGGTATCTGGGTCTTCTGGAACCACAGTGTTTCCTCGGCTGTGATGGTTTCGGCGTGTAATCAGCATATCACTCTCCAGATTGAACAGTCGAATCGCAGACCCTGGATGCTCACGGCGGTTTACGCCTCTCCCAAGTACAGTGAGCAACACCCTCTCTGGGAAACCATATTCAGGGAAAGCAGGCGTTTTGATATCCCGTGGCTGCTTACGGGGGATTTCAACGCGATCCGTGACCTAGAGGAGAGGGCCAACCCGCCTGCTAGTAATACTGTCAGAAGGTGTCGTCTCTTCAATGACAGGATCAACAAGGCTGAGCTGGTTGACCTTGGCTTCTCGGGTCCGAAATACACTTGGACCAGGGGAGATCAACCCCAAACGTACAGGGCGAGCCGGCTGGACAGAAGTCTGTGTAATGTGGCTTGGAATGAAGCCTTCCCTAATACCTCGGTTATTCATCTCCCGCGGGCGCAGTCGGACCACAACCCCATCTTAACCTCGGTGGCCTCCCATAACGGATCATCCCCCAATGATCGTCCCTTCCGCTTGGAGGCTGCCTGGTTCAGTCATGAGAATTTCCAAGACTTCGTGACAACCACTTGGAACGAGCAGGTTCCCCTGCCGAATGCTCTCCTCAATCTGGCAGGGGGTCTCAGGGAATGGAACTCTACTACTTTTGGGAATATTCAGAAGAAAAAGGCCCGCTTCCTAGCTCGTATCAGGGGAGTGGAAACCAAACTTGCCGTGCTTTTCTCCCCCGGTTTGGCAAAGCTTCACTCTAAACTTGAAGCTGAGCTGGACAGAGTGTTGGAACAAGAAGAGATATATTGGTTCCAGCGAGCTAGAGACAATTGGGTAAAGTTCGGAGCGAGGAACACGGCTTATTTTCACCTGCAGACCAATTTGAAGAGGAGGCGGAAGAAGATCGAGTCGCTGCAGGATGACAATGGTACCTGGGTGTCTGAGCCACATTCCATAGCCCAGATGGTTTTTGAGTTTGTTACTAAACTCTATCTGCAGGATGATTCGGCCTACGAAGACAGACTGCCGAAGGGCTCTTTCCCTCGGCTGAGCCAAGCTGAAATGATCACTCTGCTGCGTCCCTTCTCTGTCATGGATATCCATAGGGCAATTTTTGACATGAAACCTTTTCAAGCCCCTGGGCCTGATGGATACCACGCAGCCTTCTATCAGCATTTTTGGAGAGTAGTGGGTAAGGCGTTGGCTGACATGGCTCTGGATTTCTTCTCGACAGGGACGCTGCCAGAGTCAGTTACTGACTCTACCTTGGTTCTGATCCCTAAAGTTGAGGTTCCTGAGAAAGTGACCCAGCTTAGACCTATCTCCCTCAATAATGTCTGCCTGAAAGCGATCACCAAGGCGATGACTAGTAGATTGAAGCCTATTATGAGGAATCTTGTCTCTCCTCGTCAGAGTAGCTTCATCCCGGGTAGACAGACTGCCGATAACATTCTGGTTGTCCAAGAAGTCTTACACTCTTTCAGAAAGAAGAGGGGGAGAAAAGGGGGGCTGGTATTCAAGATCGATTTGGAGAAGGCTTATGACAGGCTGAGATGGGATTTCCTAAGAGACACTCTCAAGGAGGTTGGACTCCCTAGCTCGTGGATCAGCTGCATCATGTACTGTGTGGAACAAAATAGGATGCGGATTCTTTGGAACGGAGATCTGTCCCAACCGATATACCCGTCCCGAGGAGTTCGTCAGGGAGACCCTCTTTCCCCTTACCTTTTTGTTCTTTGTATGGAGCGTCTATCTCACAGGATTGATGAAGCTGTTCTAAACGGACAGTGGAAACCTGTGAGGCTTTCCGCGAATGGCCCCCCTCTAACCCATCTTTTCTTTGCAGATGATCTTCTATTGTTTGCAGAAGCAGAGTCGCGCCAAATTGATGTGGTCAAGCAATGTCTGGAAGACTTCTGCTATAGCTCTGGTCAAAGGGTGAATTTTCACAAGTCTATCATGTATGTGTCACCTAATTTATCTCGCAGGAAAGCTTCTATCTTGAGTCAGCGTGCCGGGATTCCCCTAAAGGCGGCGCTCGGGAGATATTTGGGTATCCAAGCTATTCAGGAGCGGGTGACGAAGGATCGATACCAGCCCCTTCTTCTGCGCATCCAAAAGCGTATGGCTCCGTGGAAGGCAAAGCGCCTTTCCTTTGCTGGCCGTCTGACCTTGGCGAAATCTGTGGCTGCCTCGCTTCCTGTGTACAACATGCAGACAGAGCTCCTTCCTAGCAGCGTTTGCAAGTCCATTGATAAGCTTAGCAGAGATTTCATCTGGGGCGATGATGAAAACAAGGCCAAGATGCATCTAGTGAGTTGGGAGGTGATGACCCGTCCTAAACCACTAGGGGGAGTGGGGATCAGACCGACCAGGCAAGCGAACTTGGCTCTTCTAGCCAAGAATGGATGGAGATTACTTAAAGACAAGGAGTGCCTTTGGACTCAGATTATGAGGGCGAAATATGGGCGCCAAAGACAAGGACTTGAAGTTATCCGGCCTTCTCAGGGAAGTTCCTTCACCTGGGCTAGCATTGCTAAAACTGCTAGTCTTATTAAGCTGGGATGTGCGTGGAACATTAAGAACGAGAAGAGAACTAATTTTTGGCTTGATATTTGGGTTTCGCAGGTTCCTCTTCGGGATTTGGCAATTGACAGCATCCCGATGGACTTGGACGGGAAAAAAGTTGCTGAGATGGTTCGGGATGACGGCACGTGGAAAACGGAGCTTTTTGAGCACCTCCTACCAAGTGAGATCACTCAAAAAAATTTGAGCACCATGGTTGATACGCTGTCGCAGGAGGATGATGATATCTTTTGGGCGGCGGCTGCTGATGGAAAATTCTCCACCAAGTCAGCGTATAACCTTCTTACCCAGCATTCCCAACATCTCTCCGCCCACGACGAGAAGACTTGGAAGACTATCTGGCGCCTCTCCACCCCGGAGCGTGTTAGGAGTTTCATGTGGCTGGCGTCTTCAAACAAGCTAGCTACAAATGTGATGCGCCATTTCCGGCGAGTTGCGGATTCCCCCTGCTGTATGCGCTGCCCGGGAGTCCCCGAAACAGTCCTCCATATATTGAGAGATTGCCCGCCCGCCTTGTTCTTCTGGGCGCGCCATGTGCCCTCTGAGATGCAGCAAAGGTTCTTCAGCTCTAATCAGCAGGATTGGTTCCGGGATAATTTGATGTGCTCTACTTCTACTACCTCAGGAATGGAGTGGCCTGCCTTCTTCAGCACCGCCTCTTGGCTCCTCTGGAAGAATAGAACCACTGCGGCTTTTAAAGGAATCGGGGCGGCGCTGACCACTCACTCGCTTGAGCATTCGATCATTGCAAGGGCGAAGCTGTGGCATGACTCGTGGGTCTCTCCTTCTCCCCTGCAGAATACCAGGTCGCATGCCGTGGAGAGAACGTTGGCTAATATTGGGTGGACTCCACCGGTGGAAGGGTGGACGACTCTGAATGTTGACGGAGCCTCGAACGGGAATCCGGGGCCAGCAGGGGCTGGTGGACTTCTTCGGGATCACACTGGGCGATGGATCAAAGGATTTGTCTCAAATGTCGGGTCGGCGTCAGCAACCCTTGCGGAACTTTGGGCCATCAACCATGGCATTGACCTCGCCTGGAAAGAGGGGTTCAGAACCTTGAAGATCGAGTCAGACTCAAAAATGGCGATCCAACTCATTGAGAACAGGCATGATCCGGTTCACCCCTATGCCACTATTTTGTCCACTATTCGGAGGAAGATTAGCAATGACTGGTTGGTCCGTATTGTTCATACGTACAGAGAAGGGAATAGAGCTGCGGACTGGCTCTCGAAGCACAGTCTCGTCTTTCCCTACGGTACGCATGAGCTTGTGGATCCTCCGGTCGGTCTAGTCTCCATTTTACGTGATGATATGATGGGTACTACTCAGGAGAGACGCATCGTCGTCCCGTCCTCTTCCTCTCTGTAACCCCTGTATCTTCTTTTTCTTGGCTCCGGCCTCCTATCAATGCGGAAAAAAAGCTAAGGATTTAAATTTATTCTTGAAATAATAAAATGATCTAAAGTTTCCCCAACTAGGCTATCACGTTTTGTGTTGGAGTTAAGTTCAGCCTTATCGTAATACAAAAAAAAGTTCAACCTTATCCATTTAATCTCTTAAATGGGCTGTCCAGATCTATTGGTGTCGGTGAATCAGACCCAAATTTAAATTGGTACCTAGAGATTCTTTTTTTTTTTTTTTTATAAAAGGGATCATCCTAAGCTTCACTACTTAGAGATTCTCTTCTTCTTAGTTGTTGGAGAAATCATGTAAATTCTTCGAATTGAAAAATATCAAGAATTAGCAATCACACGTTATAAATTCTTTGATTGAAGGAATCAATTGATTGTCTTAAGAACAGAATCATCAATTTCTCGATTATGGTTAGCGGTGGTGGTGACGGTGACATAGTGGGTGACGCAATTACGGTTGTTCCCTAGCAGCAAGGAAGAATGTGGCAGGGGGTGGAACGCTGCAGGTCTTCCACATCTCTTCGTTGGGTGCGCCGTCGTTGTGGGGAGTTCTTCCCATTTTGGGCAACTAGAGCAATTACGGTGGCAGTGGAGTGATGCAGTAGAGGAAGAAGAACGATGGGAGGGAGGAGGAAGAAATCCTGTGTGAGATGAGATTTTCTATTTTTGTATGATAATAATAATGATTACTTAAATAAATTATTATTATTTTAATATTTTATGACATAGACGCTAATATGAATGCAGATGTGGCAGTCTCCGTTAAAAATTTAATAACGATAACAGACTGTTAGCTATATCTTAACTCGTAACAGTAGTTATGACTAATAATTTGTATTTCGATAGTTGTAGTTATAATTCCCAGCTACTTAATAGTTCTAGCTAATATATTGTTTAAAAAACTATTGAAGATTAAAAAGTGAATAGAGAATGAATTGATTAATGGGCCCTGACACCATATTTAGCCACGGGCTAATAAATAACAATGCAATGCTGGGCCGAGTATTATTGAGGCCCATAATTCGGTCTAACAGGCTTCCCCAGACAGCTCAGACGAAAAGGAAGAGGAAAAAATCGGGAACCCAAATTAAAAGTTGCGGAAGCGGCACCTTTCGCTTCCCCGTACGCGGAAATCGATCTGTGTTGTGTCTGTACTCTGTACCTACAACCAGGCCACGAACTCAAAACCTCCCGCTAAACCCTAGCTCCATATCTGTTGCTTCCAATTCGCAGGTTTCTGGGACCGCGCGAGGAAGAAACTGAACCAACCATGAGGTAAATTTCGAGCTTCCCCATGCTCTTTTCTAGTTTATGTGGAGAGCTTGCCAGTGGTCCATTGGCGCCCTACAGTTTCCACTCGAAACCCTAGCAATGTGGATACACTTTATGATGTTTGAGATTTGTCTGCTTGGGTGGCTGATTGAACTTTAACTTCTATCCCCCAGCTTCGATAATCTTAATAATCGCAAGTAGAAGTTTATGATGTGACTGGTTGAATGAATCTGCAGCTTAATTTGCCCTCTGGGGTTAGTTGGTGACACTGTTACTTACTAAGTTAGTCAGTCTTGTGTTAGTTTCAGTTCTTCCTTTCGGTTATTTGCCGCACAGTTGTATAGATCAGTATGCTAACAGTTTTCTCCTTCTTGTTTGGTTGTCTTTTTGCAGCCGGCCAATGGAAGAGGATGCTCCAGTAAGTTCTTGCTGCCTTGTTAAGTTATTGTCATTTTTTTTAAGTCATGGTCCTCCTAATGCTGTGTTGTCGAATTCACATCGTACATTGCATCAAAATCTATGTTTTTCTGCTAGAGATGATTTTTGCATACTTTTTTGCTTCATGACTGATCTTTTTACTATATTATTATGAGGAATTAGGCTAAGGCCTTCCAGCTATTGGCAGTAAATTAAGTTTGGTTTTTGTTGACAATTTCGTTAACCGTCATTAGCTGACAGTGATTTCAAAGTACTTCACGCAACAATGCAATTTTGTTCATCGGGCGGATGCTTAGTTGTGTACTAATACCTAGTAGGCTTAGATTAGTAACACCTCTCTCATTTTATGATCACGTGAGTGGCATATGAACTTTGTACTTGTGCTAGGAAGAGGGTGAAGATGTCCTTTCTAGCCCATTGTGATTAGATGTAGCAGGCCATTTGTCTCTTAACTGTTGTGGCGGGAGGGAATATGGTAGTTTTTTTTATAGCTGTAGAAGCGTGGCAGAAATTAGTGTTTTACATATATCAACTCCCAAGTAATTATACAATTGAATCTGAGAAATTCAGTGAAGGAAACAATAAGACACGGTACTGTTTTACGAATTGTGACTGTACTTTCATAGCATGTCTCTAGGATGAATTTTTCCCATTGTGATCTGACATGCCAAGAGTCAATGTGTTCATTCAGGGGCAACAGCTATTGCTTGATGATTATTACAGTTCCTGCTGCAGTGTCTGGTTGCTTATTGTTTAGGCTTCTGCAAAGGTCTATTTTATCACATGTTGCGTACGAACAAATTGTTTGCTTGACACTAAAATGTGGACTTTGGTGTAGAACTGTGTGATACCCTTGCAATTATCATTGGACCATGAGTTTTATTTGTTCTCATCTTCGGTTCCTTTTTTGCGCAGAGCAAGGAGGAAGAATTCAGCACTGGTCCACTTTCTGTTCTTATGATGAGTGTGAAGAATAACACCCAGGTAGATTCTTGTTAATATCCTGGCTTTTGACTTAAATGACCTCTTCTGTTGCAAGCAACTATCTAAATACATAGATACTTTAGAGTTCTGTCTCAAGAGACAATGGTTGTTGGGATGAGTTTACTTTACTGATTGCTTGGATGTGTGCATTAGTTAGATTGAGTTAAAACTTTTCTTTTGTTTTCTTGTGCTCTTGACTACTGGCATTCGTATCTTAATTGTTGTTTGGGATGCGTGCACAGGTGCTGATAAACTGCAGGAACAACAAGAAGCTTCTTGGGCGTGTGAGGGCATTTGACCGTCACTGCAACATGGTCTTGGAAAACGTCAGGGAGATGTGGACTGAGGTTGGTTGGCTGTGGTTTTGTCTAACGATACAATGTTATATATAATCAGTGTTCTCCCAATTAAGACTGCTATTATAAAGTAATAATTTCATCTCTGCTGCATCCTTTAAATCACACCAGGTGCCGAAAACAGGGAAGGGCAAGAAGAAGGCACAGCCAGTGAACAAAGACAGGTTCATCAGTAAAATGTTTCTGCGTGGTGATTCGGTCATCATTGTGCTCAGGAACCCTAAGTGAGACATGATCCAGGTCATTCCTACCCTACAACTGATGTATCTATCGTGGATCAAACTCCCAACTGCTTCCTTCCGACTTATGTTAGATCCATCTTAGTTTCAAAGACAACCTTTAAAACCAGTGTGTAGGACAAGCATCTTATTTTGGGGGCTGGACTGATCGGTTATGTGAGACTTTTGTTACAAAGAGGCTTGAAATTCTCCCTTCCAAGTCGTTGGTAGGTTTATATATGAATATATATGTTGATACAGTAATCATCTTGTCTTGAATCAGAAGTATTGGCTGACGAGCTTATGTAGTTTTTCACCCATTCATGCTAGCTCGAGGATGGTCTGATTCACCATTCGCATGTAGCAAGTAAAATGCTACATCTCTGGACGTGTCTTTCGTTTACTACGGTCTCTTTGAAGACCCGTTTATGAATGGAAATTGGCTCGCTCTCTTATTCATTCATGTGCCTCGATATGCCTTAATTACGAAGTTGGATCTTTGTTCTCTTCGATCAAATTGGTTTATGAAGTAGTTTTTCACAAAGTTTTGAGGACAGGCTAAATCGATATTTCTGGGCAATCAGGATCATTTGTTTCGTGTTTGTTGAGTGTATGAATGTCTACTGATCAGATCAACTGCACATATTAAGCTCGTAAACCTAATCTGCCAGAGTTCATAAGAGTTTCTTGCCGCGTCAACCCTGTCCCCTCTGCGTTCATAACAGTTCTGCAGTCGTAGCCTCGTACTACATGACTGTCCAACAACCTTGAGCTAAGCATGAGCGTTACTTCCACAATGTCCTCCAAAGAGTCAGGTTATGAATGGCCCAGACTCAAATCCCCCGAGAGCCATCTTTCCTTTTCTTCCTCGGTTTACACAACAACGGTTTCAAATTCGAGATTGATGTTTGAGCATATCAACCATGGAGAAGATGGAGCGGGGGCCTACACGGCTACACCTCAACTGGCAGACGGACATTCCCAAGACACTGAAACACAGTTCTCCACAGAAGTTACAGGGAACTGGAAATTCTTTTTGAAGCTTGAACATGCATCAAAGTGTAGTTGATTATACTAGGTTAAACATGCGTGTCCTGGAAAGAGCTTTGTCATTAGGATGCAAAAACTGTAACAGTTCAAAAAAGATCCAGCTGGGTTTCTTTTTGTATAAAGCATACATTTTTCTAGGTTCATCTACTAGTTTCCTCTATTAACTCATTACTTAATGGACAATAACTTAGATAGACTGATCTCTCACTTAAACACGATTGTACGCCACCGACTTGCTGAAGAGGCGGCGGATATATAAAACCTGAAGTGAGCTCACGGCAGCCAGCAAAAGGTATTCTCCAACGGTGTATCCAATAACACGCTTTCTTGTGCTCTCATTTGCTGCAGAAGAAACAGAGCAAGCTAAGTTACATAAACAGAGCTACCGGCAACAAATTGTAAATCGAATTACAGCTTCTAAAGCAGCTACATACTCAATTAGCAACAGCGAAAACGTGAACCATTAACGAGTTAGAGTTTAACAAGAACAGAAGCCCATCAGGGATTCCTTCTTTCTGGTTGGAACTATACCAGCATAGTACATTCATAAACATCACATATTGAAAAAATTCAAAGTTTCGTCATGTACTAGGGTATTATGGAGTTTATAGAATTCGAGAAAACAAGAGGAACGGAGCAGCTTACTGTGCCGATGTCTATTGTCTCGCGCCCTTAGGTACTTCTGCTCTGCTGTAACAGATTCCAGCGCCTCTCTCAGCTCGGCAATCTTCACATTAATTGGGTCCAAATGCTCTGTAAGTCACAAGCCTTGTTAGTATATGAATGAGCCTATAACATATTATCAATATACTTATCTCAACACAGAAGCAATCACATAATCATGGCCGCTAGGCTCCATAAGACCATAACCAGTTTAAGTTAACAAGCAAAGGATCACCACAAAGAGTGCCTTACAAAACCCAGATCACAGACACTCATGATTAACAGAAGAGAGAGATCCACCAACCATCTTTTGCAACATCATGCTCATTGGGAATGTGACCCACATGAATGTAGAATGACACGGTCTCTGGCGTGGAGTAGGGATTGTGAAAACAGAACTTGTACATCCCGCTTCTTGGCGCCTTCAACTCAAACTTATCCCCAGACGTCCCCTTTATGTTGTGCACAACGTTTCCTCCAGGTGAGGAGACCTATACGGGGGGAAAAAATCCAATTTTTCAATATATAAATATGAATAGGGAAGAAAGTATACAACAGGTGCCTGCTCTAATAGCTGTTTTGAACAATCACGCTTTATTTGTTGCAGGCCAGAGAAATGAGGGAACCATAACACCGTTAAGCTACGGAGCCAAATGTAACAAGATATCAACATTTAGGGTTTAGTCAATCCGGAATTGAGAGTCTAACAGCCCTATTCCGAAGATGAAACATATTCAACAGTGAAGTTCAAGCTACGTTCCTAGCGGATTACAATAAGGAAGAAACAACTGGCGATTTAATCTTCATTGAGTATAGGGAAAATGTTCACCAGAACCCTAATCTGCAATTTCGCCAAAATTTTCTAATAACATATACAAATTTAAAGAGATGACAGAGAAATGAAACTGGGAAAAAACGCAGAGATCATAAATTGGAGGGAATTGGAACGAAAGGAAGGGGATTGGATTACAGTGAAATCGATGCCAGGGTGGTCGGAGCCCCAGAAGATATCATGATCGACGACCACGAAGTTGCCGGAGATGGCGTCTCCCTCGTAGAAGACATACTCGTAGACGCACTCGACGTCGTTGACGGTGATGGAGAGGGAAGAGATTCGGCCGACAAAGCTCAACCAAAGAGCCGCCAGAACGTAGATCTGCTTCATCTCCATTTCTTCCTCTCTCTCTCTCTCTAGTTTCTCTCTCTTTTCTTCCCCGGTCTATGCCTGGTTTATTGATGCGAGCAAATCGGATTTCCCGTTGTTTTTAGATTGGTTGGGAACTTACTGCGACGGAAAACAAGGAAACCACGGTAAAAATCTGGTGAAACTGTGAAAGTAAATTATTTAGCTGGTGAAACCAAAATTCATTAATTGCAGAAGGAAGAGCCAAAGAGGAAAATTAAAGAAAACCGCTATGAAGCGGTGTCGTTTCCGTCTCCCTGGCTAGTGGCTAGCTATGCGCTATTCCTCCCGTTTCTTTCTTCTCGAGTCGGACGAAACGATTGAGCCAGTTCTCCGTTCAACCTGAAACGACGGCGTCCCACCAAATTTGATCAGTTGATGTTGACGAACAAAAAGACGGAAAAAATCCCAGAATACACCAATTATTAAAAAAAATTACCAAAATACAGTACTTATAAAAGTATTTCCTAAAGTACAGCAGTTTCAACATCACTGTCTTTGTCTAAGACAGTGATGTTGATCATCGTTTTGGTCTAAAACGATGATACATCACCGCTTTTGACAAAAGCAGTGATGTTATCACCGCTTTAAACCAAAGCAGTGATGCCATCACCGCTGTCAAGGACGACAGTGATGGCAAGACCGTTGATGTTGGAGGCAGTGAAGCCTTCACCGTTGGATCCAACAGCGGTGAAGTGGCGCGGATCGCTGACGTGGACGCGCGCGGGCACTTCACCGCTGAAGACCAAAGCGGTGATCGCCCCGCTTTCCACGTCAGCGATCCACGCCCCACCCCGCGCCTTCACCGCTGCCGTCGGATGCAGTTATGCGCGGATTGTGGTTTTTCTCCACAATCCGACGCATCAGGAGAGGCCACGTCAGCGATCCTTGACCATCACCGCCTTTGTTGGACGCGGTGATGGCGCTGTGTTTGTTTGGGGCGGTGATAACTGGCCAGGTCTTTCCCAGCCCCAAACACTATAAATACCCATCCCCCCCCTCATTCCAAACCACACCACCACTTTATACTTCTTTCTCCCTCCATTTTTCACTCTAGTTTCGTTCTAAGTATGCTCTGTGGTTGCGGCTAAGTCCGATCTTCCGCATCAGAAAGAATTACTAGAGTTTTTGTTTTGTTGTTTTGTCGATACTCTCGCTAGCTTTTCGGCAAAAAATGGACGAAGAGGCTTTGAGAGTACGTAAATTTATTTAATTCTTTTGTGCTTTTTTTTTACATGGGTGCTAAAATTTAAATTGATTTGATTTCATATTTTTTTATAGATGGGTGCTGAGATATACGACCCTAGATTGTATATCGATCCTGGCCCAAGGGATCGAAGGTATTTAACCGGGCAAGATCAACATCGCTCTCGTTCAATTTGGAACAATAATCCGGTAGACACACTAAAATTATTTCAATAGTTTTAAAGTTTTTATTTTGCTTTCTAAGTTTTTATTTTGCTTTCTATTGACTGACAATATTGTGTTTTTTGTTTTGTAGGAATCACTTATTCCCATCAGTCATCGAGGTACATGTCGATTGCCCCGTTGGCATCCTCGACTGCATCCCTATCTAGAGAGGGCGGGATTGCACAATTTGAGGCACTTTATGAGGCTAGATATTGACAACGATCTGCTGACGGCAATGGCAGAGCGATGGCGCCCTGAGCTGCATACCTTCCACTTTCCCGAGGGTGAAATGACGATCACCCTCAAAGATGTTGCCATCCTCACCGGGCTCCCGATCACCGGAGATGTCATCATCGACAGCTCGAGAAAACCAGAAGATGGTTGGGGGCCATTGATTCAGGAACGTCTGGGGTTCAACATTCCGACCACCACGCCCTTCGAAGGGGTTGGGCATCCACCACTGAATGCGGGGCAAGTATCGATCCCGTGGCTTGTTGACCACATCCAATTGGAGGTTAATATAGGCCCGGATACTCCTGAAGATCAGGTGGAGCGGTATGCACGTGTATACCTAATTGCCTTGGTTGGTGGGTTTCTGTTCCCCGACAAGTCAAATAAGTGGATACAAGGCATGTGGTTCCCTATGCTCCTCGGTGACTGGGACGAGATCGGGAGAAAAAGTTGGGGGTCGGCCGTCTTGGCTGGAATCAACCGAGAGTTTTGTACTTGCTCGAGGTTGGGAGCGAAACAAGCTGGTGGTGCGATGTTCATACTTCAACTCTGGGCATGGGAGCATCTTCCGTTTCTCGCACCTCAAGACCCTCGGGAATTCTGGTTGCCAGATGATGAGCTACGATTTGTAGCAAATCCCCCATATGGTTTCAAGTAAGTTCAATTTAAGTTGAATTTATTTTAGATATGCAATGGTAGCTAGTTAGGTGAATTTAGATTTTAGTGAACTTAGTGAACTTAGTATGCAATTTTACCCCCATGTTGTACCCCCTTAGTGAACTTGTTGGTTTTTACCCCCATGTTGTACCAAAATGAACAACAAACGCCCTTTATTACAATCACTCAACAAGATTAAAACAAGAAGTCCAAATTAAACATCACAACAACGAAAACTACTCAACAAGATTAAAACAAGGAAGTGAACAACAACAACATCAAGGTAGGTTCGGAATTGGCGCCGAATCTTGCTCTAGAGGTGGACCTGGGCAACGCCTCTTGTCATGACCCGGTTGTCTGCACTTTGAGCAACGCTTTGGACCCCGTCAGGCACGTTGTGATTGGTCCATTTCATTGTGAATCCTTTCGGTCCTAGGACGACCTTTGGTGCGCTTTAAGTGTAACGGTGGGATAATCAACTTCCCATTGTCTACAGGCCAATAAGCTTCATCCGGCAGGGGGCTAAAACTTGACGAGTAGGAGTTCCTGATCGCCTGTTCCGTGTAGTAAGGACTAACCAAACTGTAAGCGCTGAGGGTTATCGACTTAGCTACTGCCATTGCATGTGAACAAGGTACTCTTCTGTTTTGATACTTTTGGCATGTACACTCTCCGGTGCGAGTTTCTACGTGTAGAGTTACGGATTGACGATTATGCCCACGTCTTCCTCCACCCCAGATACCTGTTTGCACAGCAAAAATACCCTCATTGCGGTTGAACAGAACAACTCTGTGCTTACTTGATTTCTCTTCGATCTTCTGCATGCCATCAAATATATGCTTAGCTATTGAATGACCAGCACGCTCCCTCCCTATAGCAGCATCCCGTCTCTTCACAAACCACTCGTTTACCTTCCAGTATGTCATCTCCACTAGGACAGATACAGGCATTGCCCTAATGCCCTTGTAGACTCCATTTATGCTCTCCCCATGGTTGGTAGTTGCAATTCCGAATCTAGCCCCGTTGTCCATGTGAAATGTCCACATGTGCAGATCTTGACCTTCTGCCCATACTGCTCCCGCCCGGTGTATTTGACGGATCGTCTTCATCTTCTGCTCGTACTTTTTTGGTTGATGTGCAACCGCTACAAGACCGGAGAATTAATAATTAATCCATAAGAATTGTCATTTGAACAATAAACCATGAACAAGCACTGAATTACATTATTACCTGCACTCCATAATTGATCTCTTATGTCTTTCTTCTTGCCAAATTTGTGTTGGAAATTGGCTAGGAAGTGACGAATACACCAACGCCATGTCCATCCCCATTCGTCCGGGAAACCACGGACGGCGTGTTTAATCCCGGCATGTCGATCCGATATAATTGTAATACCCATTCTTTGTGTGACGTGGGCGTGTAGCTGGTCAAAGAACCATGCCCAACTTAGGTTGTTCTCCCCTTCAACTAATGCAAATGCTAAGGGAAAAATACTTAAATTTCCATCAACCCCAGTGGCAATAAGAAGAGTTCCTTTATACTTCCCAGTAAGGAAAGTTCCATCAACCTGTTAAAATGAATAATGAGTTAGTAAAAATTGAAATTAGTAAAGTAATGAAATAGTACAATATTTTGAGTCCGTAATATACCTGAATCACTGGCATGCAGAAGGGAAACCCGTCAATGCATGGCTTGAATGTCCAGAACAGACGATGAAACATCAACTCGTTCTGTACTCGAACTTGATCTTCAGTTTCTACGTTGTTGTACCAAGGCACGAAAACCGTCCCAGGGTTGGACTCCTCCATTGCGGACATTAGTCTGGGGAGTAAAGCATACGAGTCATCCCAATCACCGTAGACATCAGCCATGGCCTTCTGCTTCCCATGCCACGCCTTCTTATACCTTATGGTGTAGGAGTGTCGATCCTTCACCTCCGCCATGATAGCTTTTATCTTGATATCTGGTTGTGCCTCGATAAGGTGCTTAATGGTTCTTGCCACTTTTTTTGCTTTCAGTTGCCGGTGATCCTGTGAAAGTATGGTTGAGGAGCAACTGTGGTTGTTCTCTACTGTCCGCATGACCCAGACCCCCTTTCTCTTCATATATGCAGCACGAAGTTGCCACATACAACCCTCTCCAGCATTCTTACAAATGACATGCAGTTGTCCCTTGTCAGAATATTTTACCTTCCATTCGAAATTACGCCGCATGGCTTCTTCGCTAAAAGCGTCTTGCACATCGGCTTTCGAAGTGAACGCCATACCCACTTCCAAATTAGCAGTCGGATTATACACAGGCATGGGCCGAAAGTCAGGGGCATCGTTCTGACCATATAAAAATTGATCAGGAACCTCTGTGTAGTAAGGCGTTGGTGCCTGTCGGAACGCCACCTCACTGTCATCGATATCGTCGTTATCGTCCGTATCTTCCTCCTCACTGACTGATCTCAAATCTTCCTCACTTTCATCGTCACTGGAGGCGAATGGATAGCTCGGCGAAGGATGGTCATCGTTAGCAGCATAACCAGCATCGCCTTCTTGGTCATGCGAAGTACGCCCAGTTCGAAGGGTGTTTTCAATGTCACCCCACTCTGGACCCCAAGCAGGCCATTGATCACCGTCGGGCTGAACGATATCGACGGCAGTCCCACCACCATGTGGCAGGTATTCTTCCCACCCAACACCTCCTTCAGAACTACCTCCTCCGTAGTTGCTTGAAGTACCTCCCCAACCATACCCTCCGGCAGAAGAACCTGCTCCGTAGTTACTTGAACTACCACCCCAGCCATACCCTCCTGCAAAACCATCATCATAAGAATACTGGTGAGAATGAGTTTCACCGACCGGCTCGGTCTCGACATACACCTCTGCAAGCCGCACCCCGTTCTCAGATATGAACTGTGTCATCATGTTCGCGTCGTCATCATCATTTATGTCAACTCTTTCGTACATGACTCCGTCAGCACTCATGTTGGGATACCGGTAAGTAATTTGACGAACTCTCATTTGCCCGCCCGTACAAGTCCTTTCTGCACACCTGTCATGGAGTTCTTGCCACGAGAATCTCGACTCAATTGTAAGCATACTGGATTCGCCATCTTCATAGTCGATCCCAATGTTCGAGTTTGTCACCCGACCATTCCAATAAATAATAAGCCGAAACTTCTTAAATTTACCCATGTCTGCAATTTATAATAATTAAGTATAGTATATAATTAGTACATTATGGATACAAAAACAATATCATCCAAAGCGATAATAAAATGCAACTAATTGATCTATTATGAGAAAACTAAACAAATTCATCTAAATTCATAACTAGCTAACTAACATCTATCATATCATAATTAAACTAAATAATATCATAACATATTTTCCAATAACCGCAATTCACTAAATACAGACAGTATAATTACTAACACATCAACATGTAAAAAATACATACTTATAACATACTCAATCCCGATCTATCATGAGAAAACTAAACAAATTAATCTAAATTCAGTACTAACTAACTAACATATATAATATCATAATTAATCTAAATATATAATTCTAACATACCTAATTCTAGCACATAATCAAAATGTAAACAATACATAATTCTAACATACCAAATCCCGACGAGTTTCTTGAGCAGTAAACTACGGAGGAACCAGTTGCGAAAACGACTTAACAAAACGATAATTTTTTTACTAATTTTCTGTTTGGCAGCAGGAGGGAAGAGGGGGCGTGGCTTTTTATAGGAAAAATTGGGAGCTAATCACCGCTTTGGACCAAGGCGGTGAACCCATCATCGCCTTAGTCAACAGCGGTGATGGCTAGGTAGCTGTTACCTACCTCTCCACCTACCAGGGCTGTGTAAAACGTGGGGGCAATCACTGTTGTGGACAGCAGCGATGATGCCTTCACTGTTGATGTCTAAAGCGGGGATACGTTCCCCGCCTTTGTCAAAAGCGGGGATACAATCTCCGCCTTGGACAAAAGCGGGGAACGTATAACCGCTTTTGACCACAGCGATGATGCGTTCCCCGCTTTCGTCCAAGGCGGTGATGCGTTCCCCGCTGCTTCACTGCTTTGGACAAAAGCGGTGATCAATATCACTGTCTTTGTCTAAGACAGTGATGTTGAAACTGCTGTATTTTGGGAATTACTTTTATAAGTACTGTATTTAGGGAATTTTTTTTAATAACTCGAGTATTCTGGGATTTTTTCCCAAAAAGACGTTTGGTTGCAGCAATCAGCTAAGCCTGAACGCCATTTCTACACTTCCCACTTTAGCGGACAGCGACAGCGAGGAAGCTCTGCTCTAAGCGCTGACATGGAGAACGATACGCCAAGCGCAAGAATTTCGAAAGTGAAACTGGGCAGTTAAGAATTGGAGGTTGTAGAATTTGATAATGCGGAATAACAAGAACACGAGACAAGGGATTTTACGTGGTATCCTCGACCGATTGATTGATCGAGACTAATCCACGGTGAGCTCGGAACGAGCTCACGACTGATATTTTATTAGGGACTACATTGTGACGGCTTGCTTACGACAATCTCGTAGCTAAGCTTATATAGAGAGACTTAGGGTTAAAACCCTAATGACAACCAGGTTTCCTTCTTTGACAAAGACAAGGAAACAAGGAACTTGGAGGACAAGGAATTAATTATTTTTGACTAAATAATTAATATCCTCAACAGAGGTAAGTTTGTCTTTTTGAACATGGCACATAAAAGCTTTTGGGAGTTTGGAAAAGCTCTCCTGTAGTTTTGGCAAGTTTAGCAGCTTGGCTTTTGAGTTTAACTTCAGTCAAGTCGATTTCCTGAAAATTCCGTGTATTTTCAGGTTCCCAGACTAGGGTTAGGATGTGCCGGGCTTTCTGGGTTGCTAAACGATCCCCTTATCCACGAAGACGGATGTTAATTTCTGAAGAACGCTTTCCATAAAGGTGTGACCTCCTTGGATACATCGGATGACTACGGACGTAATCATGATGATGAAATCATGATGGGGAAGGTAGTCAAAAAAGAAACTGAACCCAATGCTCTTCTTCAGATGTTGATGGATTGAGTTTATCTACTTGACATGAAATTTTTGAGCTATCAGATTGATTGTGTTTGTTGGTATCATTTGGCAGGCTCTAAAGGAGCTTCCCAGGGATCAAGTTCAATTAGAAACAAAATTCGGAATCATTGTAGGTGAAGATAAGCTGTTTGAGGGAAAGGGTAGTCCTGACTATGTGGGTGAATGCTGTGAAGCTAGCCTTGGCCGACTTGGAGGGGACACATGATCTCTATGACCAGCATCGTATTGATAATTCTGTTCCCATCGAGGATGCTGTAAAGTTTCGAAACACCTAAGGGTCCCTTTCTTGTTTTGCTTGTAAGGCTTAGTTGCAGCACTGAACTTTGTCTCGGTATGTAATTTGTTTTGTGATTTGAGATTAGATAGAGGAGATGAAGAAGCTGTGAATGAAGGGAAGGTGAAGTACATTGGACTGTCCGAAGCAAGCCCTGACAGGACCAGGAATGCTCATGCTGTTCATCCCATTACAGCAGTACATATGCAATACTCATCACGGAGCAGAGAGATTGAACAAGTGATAAATCCTCTCTGCCAGTATATATGTTCTCAATCCGCATCTACCTTAGTCATTTCACTTGTGTTCATGCTTCCGGTTCTGGCCTTGAACTTGTTGGAAGAGTCTAGTTGAATTGAGTAAGTGAAATTCCCAATTCTTTGCCTTAACATTCTTCTTATTCAGCTTCTCTTTTAAATTTGATAGTGAACTTGGAATTGGTATACTGAGTTATAGTTCTCTTGGTGATGGATTATTTGCTGGAAAAGCAGTTGTGGAGAGCCTGCCCAGTGGGAGTTTTTTTTTGGTAAGTCGGCACTTTACATGATTCGAAACTAACGTTATGGCAAGACATGTCTTTCAAACTATGTTCCAGTAAATAGTTTGTTGACCGAGTCTGAACCAATTAATTAATCTTGTGTTTTTGTGAGTTGTCTTGATGTAAGTCACTTGGAACTTTCCTCCTTTTGCCGTCCAAGGTATATCTGAACTGCTTTTGGGTGCTTTATTCTGCCGTCCTCATCTGTAATAAGACGAGTAAATGTTCACTGTCAGGTGAATTTGATCCTTCCAAAGAGGTCCATGACAGGAACCGGGGCCCCTTTTTAAATTCAGAAAAAAGGAACACGAGACCATGCTAACTAGTACTTATAATGCTACTCAGTAGTTCCCTTCACAAAACAACAGATCGAGAACTGATCTAAGTATTGTCACTCCAAAACTATTATTGCTTTTCTCTGCAGAATGGAGAACCCACAGCAGACTCAAATTCCAAAAGTCAAACTCGGCAATCAGGGATTGGAGGTAAGCCCAGTTTGCAGGCTATAGAAATGCAGAGCAAAAAGAACAACAGCAAAGTGCAGTTTAACTTATTGCACTAGCAGTTTTGCTTGATTGATCATGATGAGATTTGCTTTCTGAGTCTGCAGGTGTCAAGGCTAGGATTCGGATGCGCATCTCTTGCTGGAACAAAGAGTGCTCCTCTTAGTCACGAAGAAGCTTGCTCTCTGATTGCCCATGCTGTCAAAAGTGGTATCACTTTCATTGACACATCCGATCTCTATGGCAACGATCATGAAAGCGAAATCATGGTTGGCAAGGTAAAGAAGGCACTTCACACCAACCCACAAAGATACCATGATGTTCAAAGTTCAAACAGTGTGTTTCAGTTTCAGTATAAGAGAAAGTTAATTTATTGTGGTGCTGATTTCAGGCTCTGAAGCAGTTCCCTCGAGAAGAGATTCAGCTGGCAACTAAATTTGGACTCTACATAACCGAGGCTGGTGAGTACAGAGTCGATGGGAGGCCTGAGTATGTACGAAAATGCTGTGAAGCTAGCCTCGCCCGACTTGGAGTAGACTGCATCGATCTGTACTATCAGCACCGTGTAGATCAATCAGTCCCCATAGAAGACACTGTAATGGATTTGACAAACCTGCCTTCATCCATGCACCTTTGTTTTGTTTTGTTTTTTTTTTTTGGTTGAATGACAACAAGTGACTCTCGAATTGATGGGTTTTACAATCTATGAGGCAGATGGAGGAGCTGAAGAAGCTTGTGAATGAAGGAAAGATCAAATACATAGGGCTGTCCGAACCCAGTCCAGGCACAATCAGGAGAGCCCATGCGATTCATCCCATCTCTGCCTTGCAAATGCAGTATTCCCTTTGGTCCCGTGACATTGAACAAGAAATCATCCCTCTTTGCAGGTACATCCTTCCTTCAGGCTAACTCCGTAAAACACAAAAGAACATCTGGAAATTCGTGGTGAAATGATTGTTACTTTTTTTTTTTTGTCGAACAGAGAACTTGGAATTGGATTAGTTGCTTATAGTCCGCTTGGCGTTGGATTCTTTGCTGGAAAAGCAGTTGTTGAAACCTTTCCTGACGACAGTGAGTCGGTAAGTGAGAGCGCCTACAGCTCTGCAAGTAGTTCCAGGCAGCATCATAGTATCTAAAACATAAATTCAGCTCTAACAAACTAACTCCATGTTCATACTCTTGGGACAGCATGTGTATCATCCTAGGTTTGCAGCTGAGAATGTACATAAGAACAAGGTCTTGTACACACGAGTGGCCAACCTGGCTACAAAGCATGGGTGCACCCCTCCTCAACTAGCACTTGCATGGCTTCTACATCAAGGAAATGACATAATCCCACTCCCTGGTACAAAATCGCCATGTCAAAACAGCCCTCCTCTTCTAATAGTTTTGATTCTCCAAGTACAACCAACTCACAGTTTTTGGACTTACCCCTGCGAGACGTATTTGCAGCTTTTAACTTCTTCATTGCACTTACTCAGGCAGGATTCACAAGGAACTGACTAGGAATCCCCATTACTGGTCTTTGCAGGTACCACTAAAGTGAAAAATCTGGACAACAACCTTGGATCGTTGGCCTTGACGCTTACTGAAGCAGATGTAGAAGAAATTTCTGATGCTGTTCCCATTGATGAAGTCAGTGGAGCGGAGACCTATGCTGTGGTAGCTGAATACGTATGGAAGCTTGCCGATACCCCATCTAAGCAATAATCTTTCAGGAAATGCCTTTCAGCACTTGTATTTTCTATCCCGACTGTTCATGAAAGAGCAATTTGGTTATCTTTCTTGCAAACGAAGACAATGGAACTAAATTGAATGGGCAATAACGCCCTTGGTCATTTGATTGGTGCTTTATTATTCTAAACACTGCGACTCGTTTCCTCGTGCTTAGTTATGCTTTGAAGTTTTTTTTTTTATTGGAAAGCATCAGGCCTCACTATTTACTTTGAAGGTGTATCATGATTGTAAACAAAGACAAATATCTTTGCAACTCGATGTGCAATACTCCTAACATGAGGCATTCCCGTGTCTTTTGACATCAAATCAAGAGTATGAGTGAGGAGTCCAATATATATTACCATAGTACTCATGTACCATCAACCCTACAATTTGATGCATTATTAGTTAGAAGAGAGGATCCGGTGACTAGGGGACGTTTAGTCACTTGACTAAGTTTCTCTCAGTCCGGAGATCTGGACACAGTAATCTGACGGTTAAAAAGTGGAAATGGTTATTTAATTAATGACAGGAGTAGTTTGAGTATTATGGAAAATCACGAAGTATACAAATCGGACTTACAATCCGTACAAACCATACAACCATACAAACAGTACAGACTACAACGACAAAACATACAAACAGATTTACAAACATTACAAACGTATGGACTGTACAAACAATACAAACTAGACCGACAAACAATACAACATACAAAAAAAGAAAAAATAACCGGGTTGACTTTGGAGACTCCATCCCTATATAGAGGGCTCTGTCTCAAAGTCAACCCGGTTGTTTTTTCGACATGCAAACATTACGAACACGGTGGAAAAAAATGACAAACTAGACCGACAATCCATATAAACTGAAAAAAACACTCAGGTTGACTTTGGAGGCTCCATCCCTATATAAAGGAGTTCCATCCAAAAGTCAACCAGATTATTTTTTAGACATAAAAAACATTACAAACATGGTTGACAACAATGATAAACATGGTGCACAAAAATAACAAAGCTTACAAACATTACAAAAGAAACCGACAAACGTTACAAAATAACAAAGCGTATAAACATTACAAAATAAACCGACAAACAATACAAAACACACTAACCGTACAAAATGTCACTAAAAATTACAAACAAGAATGATAAACAATACAAACTGAATTTATACAAACATTACAAAATAGGTCAACAAACATCACAAAATAGATCAACAAATATCACAAATCCAACACTGTCGCCGGAAAATCTCTCTCTCACACACACACCAAAAATGGCTCACTCTGCCGCACCAAAAAGATGCACACAGCCGGAAAATCCTGAACGATTGGGAGGACGCTGGAAATTCTAGTCGGCTGTAGCGGGGCGGGGAGAACGAGACGTGTCGTAGGCTGTTTTAATTATTAAAAAAAATAAAATAATTATGAATCATGCAATTACTACATTACCCTTTATTAAATTGAATTAATTGGAGCCATGAAATTTTAATGAACTTAAAGGGTTGAGATCGACTTAGACAAGTGACTAAGGAACCCCTTAATCACCTGATCTTAACCCATTAGTTACCACATGCACATCTTCCGATCGAGCATAATCAATAATTCCCACAAAACAACTTGAACATGTGATTTTTAGTCTTGATCAAACATTTTCAATTCTATTTGAGCATAAATTCGAAGTGATCAGTGATTTTTAGTGATCAGTGCGTTGTTTCCGAGATAGTGGATTCTCAGGTATGCCAACCGGAAGGAATGTGAAGTCAATTGTGCTAGATAACATTTTTAATTGTGCTAGATCAACATTTTTAGGTTGATTGTGATTTCATAGTAAAGTTGGTGGTTCTAATGGCAAATTGCTTGATATTGTGGATCGGGATAGTGAGTTGACAACGGGTCCATTACAAATAAGTATATACTAGGGTTAATATTTTATTTTGACCTGAACTATGACAAAACTAATTAATTTTGACCCGTGGTTTCATAAATTAATATCCTAGCCTCAACTATGCAATATATAGACTCAATTAGCCCGACTCATGGTTTGACCGTCAATTTGGACAGTCAACACACCATATTATTGCCTCATCAGCCTAAAAATCATTAAAAAAATTCGTTTAAATTACTTTCCTAGTTTCTATTATTTATCATTAATAAATTAACCAAAAAATAAAATTATTGTTTTTCCCTTAGTGGCAAGGGATGTTGGCACAAGTAACTTTGTTTTTATGAAATATTAGCACCAACTATTCTTGAAAAACAAACTTAATTTCTATATATGTTTTATTATAAGCAAAAATAATAATGATTCTGTCTTGTTTAACTTAATAGTTCTAAAGTCTGTGCTCCACAGAGGCTATTCAATTCTTATTTCATTAAGATTTGTATTCTTGTAAATACAAAGTAATATATTAAACAATATATATTCAAGAGAAAAAAAAAAAGATTTGAATCAAACTCTTTAAAATGCTATACTCCTAATCTATTAGCCTATGAGAATAAATTGATAGCCAATTAAGCCCCATATTCGAAAATATAGATTAATGCACCAAAAAAATATTTGAATAGTTGAAAAACTTATAAAGATTGTCAATCGATACAGATTCAAAAATGAAAAATGCATTGTCAAAAGACACATGATTGATATACGCATGATGAGCTGGTCTATAATTGAATAGCCGGAACACTCATGAAGATTATCAATCTATAATAACTCGAAAATAGAAAATGTGTCGCAAATATACGCGAGATCCGAATAAAAGTAATCACGTTCATCTTATAGTTGAATAGTCGAAAAACTCCAAAAAATATCGGTAAATAAGAATTTTAAAATGGAAACACATCGATGAAATATTTATCAAATACAAACAAAGACATCAAATTTAGAATAGCAAAAGCAAAAAAAAGATAAATATGTGAAATAAAACGAGGACCTTTAAAAGAATAATAGAAATCAAAGAAAATAGAATAATATACATCTACAACTTGACCTACCATCCATTGACATACCGCAGGTTGACCTTCCTTCCTACTTTGAACAGTTTTCGGATGCCTTTTTCACCGTCCCAATTATTATGTAATAATAATAAGTCGCCTAACTGCTCTATTCTGAAATGAATGTGACCCGTACAAGTTGGCCCAAAGAAAACTGGCTGTTAAGTCGGCATGACAGGAACACGCTACCGTTTTGAAAAGGATAAAAGGGACACTAGTGACTAGACCATTATACAAATGCTCAAGGGGAGGGGGAAATGCTAATAAGTAGTGCCCTTCACTGAACAACAGAACGTAACTAACCCAAAAACTGAGACTCCAAAGCTAGCATAGCATTGTCTTCCTGAGAAAAATGGAGAACCAACAGCACAATCGAATTCCAAGAGTCCAACTTGGGAATCAAGGATTGGAGGTAACACCAGTTTGCATATTGTAGCTTGTATAGAACGTGCAGAGCTAACAGAACACTTAGCACATTGTAGCTTCATATTGCAATTGTTTTGGTTGAAGAGTACTGGGATTCTGATGGTGCAGGTGTCGAGACTGGGATTCGGATGTGCATCCCTTGATGGAACGATGAATGCTCCTCTATCCCACGAAGAAGCCTGCTCCCTGATTGCCTGTGCTTTCAACAAGGGTGTCACCTTCATCGACACATCTGATCTCTACGGCTATAATCACGAAGGGGAAATCATGGTTGGCGAGGTAAATAGACACCCTTCCATGTTTGCCATTTTTTTTTTATAGTTTCAGTGAGAGGAAGTAAGCCCATTTATGCCATTCTGGGTGAATTCAGGCTCTGAAGCAGCTTCCTCGAGAAGAGATTCAACTGGCAACCAAATTCGGACTTTACATAACCAAGGCTGGTGAGTATAGAGTCGACGGTAGGCCTGAATATGTGCGCAAGTGCTGTGAAGCTAGCCTGGAGCGACTTGGAGTAGACTACATCGATCTGTATTATCAGCACCGTGTGGATCAATCAGTCCCAATTGAAGACACCGTAAGACTCTCCTTAAGACATCTTTTGTTGACTGAACTTGCTATATTGGCTCAAATTGAAAGTTTGCTTCCTGGGATTCACACTGCGAGGTAGATGGAGGAGCTGAAGAAGCTGGTGGATGAAGGGAATATCAAATACATAGGGCTATCCGATCCCAGTCCAGACACAGTCAGGAGAGCCCATGCTGTTCATCCCATCACTGCCTTGCAAATGGAGTATTCCCTTTGGTCCCGTGATATTGAAGCAGAGATCATCCCACTTTGCCGGTATCTTTCAAGCTCAACTCATAAATTCTCAAAAAGAAAACCTGAGTATTCAATGATGAAATCAATAACTGTTCTGCTCAGGCTTACAGATATGAAAGAAATATCACACACCTTGCATAGTTGTTTGTGCCATATAATCACCGATGCATTTTTTCTATTCTTTATCAACAGAGAACTTGGGATTGGATTAGTTGCATATAGTCCGCTTGGCGTTGGATTCTTTGCTGGAAAAGCAATAGTGGAAAGCTTGCCTGCAAACAGTGTGCTGGTAAGCGATGCAACTAGAAGTAGTTCCTTAACTGCAATGTCTACATGATCAATCAGTTTCTAACTAACTAACTAACTAACTGACTCCATGTCCATGTTCGCGGGACAGCCTGAGCATCATCCAAGGTTTTCAACTGATAGCATAGAGAAGAATAAGGTCTTGTATTCACGAGTTGCCAATTTGGCTACAAAGCATGGGTGCACCCCTCCTGAACTAGCACTTGCATGGCTTCTACATCAAGGAACTGACATAATCCCACTCCCTGGTACAAGAGTTTCCGGAACAAGAATTCTCTTTCACTAGATTCAATTATCCGAGTAAATTCAACTCGCTAATTACTAGCATTATCATGCAAGACGTCTTTACAGCTTTTACCGCATTGCTACTGTTTCACGACATTCACCCACACAGGGTTACCAAGAGCTGACTACAGATACTCATCATTGGTATTTTCAGGGACAAGTAAAAAGAAGAACCTCGAGAACAATCTTCGATCATTGGCTGTTAGGCTTACACAAGAAGATGTAAAAGAGATATCTGATGCTGTTCCCGCTCATGAAGTTTGTGGCTCAGAGATCTATCCTGCTGTAGCTAACTACTCATGGAAGCTCGCAGATACCCCACCTAAGCATTGATCTTTTAGCATGCGCATTTAGACCAATCACATTCCTATTCAGACTCTTCCTGAAAGAGCAATTTGGATATCTTTCTTGTAAACTTAAGACTGTCGAATAAACGCCCTTGGTATAACATACCTCAGTTGATGTGGGCTATATTAATTTGAAGAGTGCAAATCATTTCCTTGTTAAACATCTCTTCCTTTGCCCCAACAAATTGAAAAGATCAGCCAAAGCAGCGGAATCATGACATCGGTCTCTCTGAACCAGCCACTCATCCTGAAGATGAACTTTAACATCTCTCCTCAGGGCAAGAACCTGATAATTCCGTCGCAGGTAATCAGAATGCTCTACCAGGGCATCTTGTACATACTGTTTCCCCACAGTTCTTACTGCTGCGGCATTCAGTAAATTCTCCAACGACCCATGTCTTTTCAGAAGCTTCAGAGCAGTTTTTCGACCAAATCCAGGTGCCACACTCTGTATCCCAGGAACCCCATCAACTTCATCACCCACAATGCTACGGTAGCTGAGATCAGAGCACGGGTCACAATTATACTGAGCTAAATAGTGCTTCAGGGTATAAAAAGACCATCTTTTCAGCTCGGTAATGGGGCAAACAATTTGAACATCTTCAGAAATCAACTGCTTGAAATCCTTGTCAGGGGAGGCAATAACCACTCTGTAGCCTCTCGGACGAACTTGCTCAGCCAGCGTTGCTACGACATCGTCTGCTTCCTGACCCTCAACTTTCACAATAGGGACGTTGCATTTGGACAATACATTAATCACTACCTGAGCCCTTTCGGCGCGATCCTTTGCGTGCTTCTGGGACGTCACTGATAATCGATCGGCCAAAAATCTCCGGCGGTGTTCTTTATAGGAAGGCAGCAATCGCCTCCGATGCTCACCGCCCCCTTCCCCGTCAAATACGGCGATAACAGGATCAGTAAGGCTGACCTGAGAGAAGAAAAGGGAAATCCAGTGCCCAAAAGCGTCCAGGCTGGGCGTGCTTCCGTCGTAACAAAGTGGGTTCACGTCCAAGAAGAATACCCTTTTCCTGTTTGTGCCCTTATCTCCGGAATTGTTACCGATTTCGCCTTTCACTAACGACTGCCTTCCAACCGTTCGACGAAATGTCCCAGTGGGAGAGGAACGAGGAGGAGGAGACTCCGAAATAAGAAGAGATCGGACCTCGCTGGTTCTCTTCAATGGGAATTTGATAGAGTGAAGATGAGCAGATTGGACGGAAACTGAGGGAAACGGTTGTATTGCGTGGAGATTGACAGTGGTGGTCACGGCAACTTCCACCATCTTCAGCCCCATTATCATCGCCGTTGGAGTTCTTTGAATCGCTTTGCTAATTAATATCGTCAGCCGCCACATATATCTCAGGAGTCACTATTGGGCTCGGGCCTGAAACTTAACTGGACCCAAACCACAGAAGCTACAGTGAGGGGGGAGGACAAATATAAAATAGAGCACCAATAGGGCCGAACAAGCCCACTCGCGTTGGGCATTAATAAAGAAGGCTGGCTCCTAAGCCCACTCAAATCGTATCTTCCATTTGATGGAAGCCCTCAAAATGAAGCTCTGTTTGTGAAAATGGGATGTTTCTTGATGTTCATGGTAAATGACACATTTGGTCACTGAGATTATTAAATTATGTCATGTTTAGTCACTAGAAAAAATTAATATCAATTTTGGTCACTCGAATTATCGAAACTGGTCAAATTTAGTCACTCTCCCGTCAGTTTCCGTCCAACTCCATTAATGTAGTTGGACGGAAACTTTTGGGAGAGTGACTAAATGTGACATGTTTCAGTAATATGAGTGACTAAATGTGACATTTTTCAATAATTCGAGTGACCGGAGTTGGACAGAGGCTACAGAAGAGTGACCAAATGTGACATGTGTCAGTAATTCGAGTGACCAACATTGATATTAAATTTTTCTAGTGACTAAATATGACACGATTTAGTAATCTCAGTGACCAAATGTGTCATTTACCCTGATGTTCATGGTTAAAACTTAAAACTAGTTTACGACCAACTTTATTTGCAACAAATATATTACTTTCAGTTTATTTTTCTTCTTTCGACAGTTCTTATATGTCTCTCACTTTCCTTATAAGGGTGAAAAGCTTCTACAAGGCTGGGCTTGAATGTAAAAAATCATATTAATTTACTAGAACGGCTTAATCATTTAGACTATTATCTTATTGATAAATTCATGAATCCAGTTCCTTCTTAATACTAATAAAGTGTACTATAATCTTGCTCATTAATTTTCATAAGAAGATAACTTAAAATATTCTGATTCTAATCTCAACAGTTAACGTCTTCCAACCTGATGCCCTGATTGTCTGCGAAAGAACATCCTGAAAAATCTGCATAACTCCTACCTTCTCATAAAAAAATTACTAAATGTTGTCCTGAAAAATCGACTTTTTATGCCATATAATTGGCTGATTGTAGGACGAAATTTAGCGATCCAACTAACCAATGCAAACAATATGATCTCAACAATGGAAGAGGCCAAATTAGATAGAGAGAAATGGAGTCACTGGAAGGAAGAATGAAAGTTTTGAAATTGGCCTCTCTAACTACACTTAGAGACGTGTCGAGTTCATGTGGTAAAACCGTGGCAAATTTCAGGACCGGTAACCAGAATGTACTGGAAAGGAAGAAGATGCAAAACTGAAAACTCCCTAAACCCTCTAGCACTAGTAAGAAAATTCCTCAGGACCAACGCTGGCCTCAAGTTCTTCCGTCTTCTTCCCTCTTCCTCCACTTGGCAGTAAGGTCCGAGCAGCCATGGACGGCTCCCAAATTAACCACGTCATCCCCTTTTCACCATATGTCGACAACCCAAACCCACTTGTACCTCAATCACCTTTTTTTATGGAAAACATACCACTCGACGTGGAGCTTCAAATATCCTCACTTCTCCTTTCCCCTTTCCCTTTATAATCCTGCAACCGCCCCACCAACCCTCTTAACTCAACTCAACCGAAGTGCAAACAGTTACCTCCTTCTTCCTCTCTAAAGCTGCAAAGCTTGAATTTGCCTATCCTCTGTTTTTGTGTAAAGATTGAAGCAATTTCACACCTCTCCGATAAAAATGGCCTTGACCTCGTCGACCTTGCAGACAATCTTCGCCAGCCCAGCTCTGACCAGCCGGGCCAGAACCACCTGCTACTCCTTCCCTCGCATCGTCAGTGTTCCGCGTCTGAGCAGAAATGCAGTCAGGTGTATGGCCACCGGAGTAAGTACTAAATCCTAAATTCTAAACCCTAAATCGGTCTTACAATGTCGTTATCGATTTTGTAAGCAGTGGGGCTAATCACTCAAGACGAATTTTTTTTTGCAGGATGAAAAGACAGAACAGAGCAGCGAACCCACATCGGTACCCCCAACTACATCTCAAATCCCTACTACTCCCACTCCGCCCAAGCCACAGGTGCCCAAGGTGAGCACCAAATTCGGCGACGTGCTGGCGTTCAGCGGGCCGGCGCCCGAGAGGATCAACGGCAGGCTGGCGATGGTGGGATTCGTGGCCGCCTTGGCGGTGGAGCTGTCCAGGGGACAGGATGTGTTCACCCAGATCTCGGAGGGTGGCGCCACGTGGTTCGTCGCCACCAGCGTGCTGTTCACTCTTGCGTCGTTGATCCCTCTGTCCAAGGGGATCACCGCGGAGTCGAAATCGAAAGGGCTGATGACCTCTGATGCGGAGATGTGGAATGGTAGGTTTGCGATGTTGGGGCTTGTTGCTCTGGCTTTCACCGAGTACGTCAAGGGTGGTCCCTTTGTGTAAATCTTGTGTAATTTTTGTAGGCCAGTGATGGTCGGCTGAAGCCTGTGTAATGTTATTGTACTTATATGCTACTAGTAAATATACGAATGGGAAAACACCTTCATGAGGAATTTTAGCCTTTTACCATAGCCCTTAAAATTCTGACGAACGATCACAATTGCATAGTAGTTTTGCCGAGAGAAAATTTCAAAATACCCATATTTATTTTTAAAAAAAAGTCTCAAAAGATGCACATTTTATGAAAAATTTCTAAAATACACATGTTTGAGCATCATTGTGGTAGTCCACCGCAGTGAATTCATTCAACGCCGCAGATGGAAGTTGTGAATGCATCACCGCAGTTGAAAGGCCGCGATAGATGCCTGACTTAACATTGAAACTTCAAGCAAATATAATTTTGCGCACGATTATCCGATTGTAACGAAATATTTTTTGTTCCACATTACTTTTCAAGATCTTTTAATATGAAGCAAGATTTCATCCTAAAAAAATGTCGTTTGCTACTCCGAACGAATAATTTTTCGATTTCGACAAACTTTGGAAGACCATAACTTTGTGTTCCTCAATCATTGTCATGAAACTTTTTTGAATTCATATAACTTTTGAAGAACTACAACTTTGATCATAACCATAATTTTGGAATGTATGTGAATTTGTGAAATAGTAAAGTCAAAGTTATTCCCAAAATTCTGTATACTCAAAAATATTTTAAAAAAAAAAAATATTTCCTAGTAAAAGTTGTAGTTCTTAAAAAATTATGCGCAATAAAAAAAAACTGTATTACGTTCAGGCATTCACCGCGGTCGTCAACCACAGTGATGCCCAAATATGTGTATTTTGGAAAATTTTCATAAAATAAGTGTATTTTGAGAAATGTTTTTAAAAACATGTGTATTTTGGTATTTTATCCAGCTCTACCAACACTGAGTTCATAATATTAATAAACAATCCACTTTCCACTTACCATTTTAAGGAAATTCAATCTTTGCAAATACATGTGTATTTTGGTATTTTATCCAGTTTTCTCTACCACTAAAACCGTATATTCCATTTGATGGAAGCTATCAAAAGCGAGCTCTGTTTGTGAAAATGGGATGTTCATGGTTAATATTTGTTGGGTAAAACTATTTATTAGTTAATTTATTTTTGTTAACTATTTTTTAATGATTTTCCACCTTAGTATCCAACTTAGTTGTCACCTC